TTTTTTTTTTTTTTTTGTTTTGTTTTGTTTTGTTTTGTTCAGGATAAGAGAGTCGTTGAAAGAGGCTTAATTATTCCAATCGCTTCATCCGTTCATATAAGGAGCATTGACGTCTCTGTCCCTACGTTATTCTAATCGATAATTGATCGGATCAGTTTCCCAGAGAAATGTGTTGTGATTATTCCCAACACTTCTGATTATGCATTGTGTCTGTTACCAGTATATCTTACTCCCTGATCTAGCCTGGGAAGGGCAGATATAATTACATCATTAATCAGAAGTCACTTCTCATGTGTAATACTCAGAGGAATTTGATGGTTGAATACCGGTAATCGATCGAATTAACGGCGATTCTGATGGTGTTGAAATACACTGGCGGTTGATGCAGTTTGATGTTTCTGTCTGTGTACTAGTTCACAACTCTCTTAGCGCGCATTCAGAACAAAGGACTAATAGATTCACGGATCAAATATGGCCGATCTACTTGAATGTTTGTTGCGAAGGGAATCTATTCAGTGTCTAATCGGGAATTAAGCGGCAATCTTTTTGGTGAGAGGTCATATTTGATTTGCGGATCTGATAGTCAGCGGTTCTGGATACGCTCGAGCATTGGACCTTGTTAGGGCTGCATCTTCTATTTCAAATTCCAACACATGCCCTCTTAGATCAGCTTGTCGAATTCTGATCGAGACCCAGCCGCAAATCATGGGTTGTGCAATGAATTTAAACAAAACCACCGCCTGTGGAAAAAAAACAACGTTTCTAGTTTAAAAAAGAACATTACTCCAGAATAAATCAGTTAGATACATGTAAGTGGTTTTATTTGTAATGGAGAAATAAGCCGTTATCATGAGAAGATTGTTATAAGCGCGTACTGTCCAATTATGACGATTGCTTTATGCAATGCAGACAGATAGCACGTGTGATATACATGTTATGTGGGCAGAAGGCACGTAAGACCCCCCCTCCCCTCTCTTCAAGGGAAGCAAAAATAGTACACAACCACACACACGCACTCGCATTCACAGGAACACACCCGCATATTATAAAACTAATGCAGAGAAAAACGCAAGGAAAATTTCTATATATACTAGTACATACATCCACATCATACACAACTGTTATAATCTAAAATTGATCTCATTTTTTTCATCAATCAAAGTCAATGTGCTTTGATCATGCGTTTTATCTCGATTTGTACATGTAAGAGTCCCGATCCATGGTAGCTAATATTAACTAGGCCTACGTCATATGAGGTCATGTGTGGAGGCAAATCTTATTAATGCAGTGTGTTATGCTTGTCACATAGCTAAACCTCCACTAATTGCAAGCAAATTGGTTTTTGTCCCACGTATTGTGTCCGGTTATGGAAAATTCACGGAAAACCTAAGTTGATCTTCCCCAATGGTGTTCTCCATTTGAAAACATTGTTTTCTTAGCATGTCTTCACGGTGTGTGTTTGTCATCCCAAGTAGAGAGAAAAATAACATTTATTAATTAGTAACAGTTTTATGAGCCCTCAGTGAAAGAAAGATGACCTGTTTCTTTTAGATTCTCTAATCATTATTGTAAAGAATCAAAGCCGTCCTCTGTCGTTTGCAATGATTTTTACAGCTTTCGTGTAAAGTCGATGTTTCTGAAAATTGCCACACACTGAAAAGAGGGTTCTGCAGAAAAAATATGGGAAAAACTAAAGGGTGGACTTCAAAATGGATATAATTTTTAAGTGCTGTTGAAAATATACTCGCTACAGTGAATAAAACCTGGATAGTTATTCCGTAATGCATCGAGGCAAGATCAGGAAATACAGTACTTTTAATTGTGACTTTCAGAAATCTCTGGATCGATTAACACCACAGCTCTCTGTTGCATAAGTTCAACAGCTTAACTCGGTTTTTATACTCAATCACAGAGCAGAGGTGTTTTGTAAATTAACCAAGTCTGTCTAATTCCACGCTCTTAGTTTAGCATTCAAAATGATTCTTGAACAAAAGCTAGTGTGCTTTTAGTTTATTAACTCGTTCTTAGCGTTCCATTGACAGGATCTGTATTTAACACCACTGAAGGGTTTAATGCATTGCCTCAGCAGAAGTCGCCTTTAACTGTACCTGTTCGAAATTAGGCAAATTTTGTTTTCGCAATGGTGAGTCATTTTGACCAAGCCCCAACGATTCCTGCACAAAAAGTAGGGAGAGCTGGTCTGACACAGTAACGTTGGCTCTAAATACTTGATCTGTGTGAACGCAATATTTACCAAATCTGTCTTCCACACATGCAATCTAAAACAACGTATCAAAAAATTGGTAACGACAGTTTTATGTAACTGACACTTGGCACCGTGTAAGATTTCTCAGAATATTTCACCCGCCTGGGGAAAACAAGATGATGTCTTGGCAAGATAACACGGTACCGCTGCAATGACATGCGTAGACGGTAATTCCAATAAAGACCGGTGTCTGATTGGGTTATTCGTCCGAGTTATTCCTATCTCCAGTTGCCTCCTCGTTGCAGCAGTGAGTGATTGCAGATTGCATAGTTGAACATTAGCGAGATTTCTTTGGGAGTTGCTGTTCGGAACAGAAGGAACGTTTTGCTGTATAAGAGAGGAGAAGAGGATTGAAATGTCTTTTCCAAGTCGTTATGTGATGTCTATATTGCTGTTGGCATCAGTTGTGCTACTACTTCAGGTAAGAGAATCTAGATCTAGATCTATTGAAAACGCTAAACAACAACAACAAACAACATCAACAACAACAACAATAATAATAATAATAATAATAATAATAATAATAATAATATAGTATATTGAGCTTTGAAGGGTAAGTAATCGAAATTGCCAGCTGTCTTTACCACACATATTTATAAAGAATAGAATAATAGGACAAATATAAAAAAAAAGATAAGTATGAAAAAAGATACACTATATGTAGCATTGCTGCTTTTTCTGGTGTGACGCACAAAATTATGAGGTTTTCTTTAAATTAAATTTATAAACAAAAACCCAAAGGCATACAATGCGCGTTAGGCATTTACATGTATGTAGTAAAAACATTCAAATATCTTTTTGCGCAAAATTATGATTCTTTAATCCATTTTTTTTAGTTCTTCGTGTTTATGTTCACCGTTAATAGATATAAATGCTAAGCAATCAATTGTATATCATGTACCCATTCATTTGTGAAGGCAAAAAAATGACGTGTTTTGGGATGGTGAACAGGATTACATGTTGGTAATACTCCATTGCAAATTTGATTAATGCGTATTATGTCACTAATTCGTTACTTAAACAGAACAAGAGCAATGGCCTAATCAATTAGCAAAAAGAAAGCTTGCTACGCAGAATGTCGTCAACCAATACCGAAAGTAAAACTAATCATTATGAAAACGTTCATGAAAATATATCCATCAAAATTTTATTGAGCCAAGTATTCACAATACTAGAAATGTAATGACTCATTAGAAACTAATAACATTATAACATTATAAGGATTTCATAACAGAGATGTCAACAGTACAACAGAAATTCTCAAAATGGGCACATTTATGGATAACCAGGTTAATGGTAAGAGACAAATCCCTGAAATGTATGGAATTCAGTATTACGACTTGCGAATTACACGTGTGTGTAAAATTAGCAAATCCCAAAGGCCAAAAGCATTCTCGAATCGTTATTGCCAACAATACAATACAATAAGTGCAACATGTTACATCATCAGATCGCCTTGTCTATTGCCACTAAAACAAGACAGACAACTTGCACACCAATACCACACTTCTGTGATAATTGGACAATTGTATCAACGATCGCACAGGGGAATAACAGGGGAATAAATTCTTTACTTTACCTTATTTCCAGTAACGTGACCAAATTAAAAGAAAACATAGAGTTGTTCAGAATATCATGTAGAGCAAAAACATCCGCTCATTACGCAAATGATAATTTCGTATTGTAGGCTTATTGCACCATTGTTCGACAAAATGCGTTCACGGGATTTGTATTATCAACCCAGAAATTGTATTAACTTTAAAAAGGGACACAATATGTGATTGGATTAAGGGGCTTGTTGCAGCTTGTAATGTCATTGCCTTCCTCGGTTTTGTTATATTTTTAGTTGCATTTCCCTTTATTTAAATTAAAATTCGTTTCTGAGGTACATGTATGTCGCAAAGCTTTCCACGTCTATTAAAATGACCTTTTTCGACTGACTCTATCTAGATTGTGACGATTGTTCGTATAATACATAAACTGGTTAGGTTTAAACACATTTGTCTCAATACCCATAATTTATTACACCCGATGGTGCTTTTACAAGGAAAAAGAATTGCTTTTACAAGGAAAAGAATTGCTCTTAGTGTCAAACTTGTATTCGACCCGACACCATTAATTTTCTTTACTGACTCAATTATTGGAGGATTTTTCACTCGAATGTGCGGTGTGATCATACAAATGATTTGATTTCCCCTACGCCTTCGTACCCAATATCTTATTCAATCTTATCCAACAGAGAATTCGTAATGCGATGCATGGTAGATACTTGCGCTTGTCGATACATGGCGCGTTCACACGTGTAATGGGGCCACCCATCCTGGCGCGACCCAGTAGTGCGGGGGCTTTCCTATTCAACCCAACTAATCGTACAGGCATCAATTATGAATGAGTTTTTTTTTTTTTTGTGTGTGTGTGTGTGTGTGTGTGTGTGAAATAATGATACGTATTCATTACAACTCATATCAGTTGAATTGGTTTTGTTTAAATCCGATAAGTAAGGTTTTTTTCTGTAATTCATGCCTCGTCTTGTCTTATTCACATGACTGACTCTGAAAATTAGGGCTAGAAACAATGAAAGTCGTATTTTACCACTACACAGATGCTTCTACATTTTTAGCGTGTATCCTTTTTTCTCCAGAAATTTACGGCTGGAATCAACGTGTATCGGCCGTTTGGTCGCAACTGGCACGTTCAGTCTGCGTTCAGGAGCGGCTCCCCAGGGTACGAACCTTGCCCGCCCATCCCCGAGCAGCCGTACGTCTCTTGTGCTGAGGTGAGTGTCTCACTTCAGATCATGTAGCGTTAAGTAATTATGATCAAATTGCATGGAAAGTTATTCAGAAATTAACATTGTGTGACATGCGTGAGATGATGTTACATTTCAGATAGATAATTGATGAAACAGTCGTTTCTAAAGAGCGTAATGACGTGCCGGTCAATAACACTAAGTATGTAGTATCCAATGTGATATCTCAACTCTCTCAACTAACAGATTGCTTCAAGTTTAAGAATGCCACACCTAATGCAATGCTGCACCGTGAGCAAAACCCCATACTAAAACGTTCTCTCTCTCTCTCTCTCTCTCTCTCTCTCACACACACACACACACACACACACTCTTGCTTTTACCATGTGGCGCACAAAACATTCTGATCTTGACTGACCTACTGCTACCGTGACTTTTTAAATCATTTTCTCAACATTTCATCGTTATCTCGCCAGGTGAAGTCGAACTGTCCTCCCGGCACGCGCTGTTATCCGCCCCAAGTCCGTCTTCCCGAGCCATGGTACATCCCCAGCCGATGCCGCCGATACTCTCCGCCTATTTTGTGTGTAGTCAATGAGGAAGAATAGGATGATATAGGAATCCAGAATTACTATGAAAAACTTTTTGAAAAATCTATTTCATACACAAAGTCAATACAAATCATTTGCTCACAATGAGAGACGAAAACAAGATGAAAAAATTGATGTGATAATGACCTTTTTTGGCAAACTGTAGAAATGTCTCGTTCCCAAATTTTGCCATTTGATTATTTGGAGATGTGTCCAATGGGAAAACATACGATTAGGATGACTAATCCAATGGAATGTTGTTTTTTTCTGCCGTTTAGAAACTCGTTTTACTGTAGATGGTGCATCCACAACAACAATCTTCATAGAGAATGTAATGTTTTATTACAAGAATGAATGTTTTTTCTTGCTCGTACATGAAATTGTAATTTGTACATAACTGAAGGACAAAAACGGTTAATTAGTGCGTATAGTAGATATGAATATATAAACTGCCTTTTATCATGCAGCTTTGTAGGAGAATATCATTGCTTTTATTAATAAATGTTTATAAAATGTGTCTGCCGCATCTCTCTCAATAACCACACTATCTACAAAAATGTTTATTATTATATGTACGTGTATTCGTATGTACCTATAATACTCTGCTTATCGTTTCTATCAACAAACCGTTTTCATTCTGCTATAGATATCAAATGTTGATAATAACGATAATGTTGTTTTTCGTTCTGTGGTCACATCACATACAGTAAGTATGTCTGGCAGTAATAGCATATCTGAATTTAGTCCTGACATGAGAAAAGCTACTGTATTGAATAAATGGCTAAATAGCGAGTTGGTGGTATTTGAACTTACAGCACTGCTTTGAACTTAATAGAGAACGGGTATAAAATGTCTATATATAAATAAGTGCATCACTTAGTCTAACATGGGACTTAACATTGTCTTCCCTCTTTCCTTCTTTATTTTTTCCCTTTCTCTGTCATTCATTTACATGTCTTTTTATGTAACTATTAATTTGTCTTCTTTTTTTTTCTTTTTGGGAAGATGAGTCTATTCTCAGATGCATCATATTTATATTGCCATATTTCGTGCATTTCGCGTTTTCCAAATTTCAAAATTGTCAAGCTTATTTAGAGCACATTGCTGAGATCGAGTGAACATTTATTTTTTCTTTCACCTTCGGTATCGATTTACGTATAAATTCCATTTTATTAAATATTTGAAACATATTCAATCTTCCCCAACGAGACAGTATTGAAAATATACCGGTAGGTCTGTGAATTACTTTGATAACATGTTACACAGGCGGTGTGCACGAAATGATATTACTCTTGTACCAGCATTTATATTTCCTCTTATTTGTTCTCATTATATAGAGTGTGATATACCTTCATATTACAATAACTGAAACATCGTTTTTATGATAACTGAATCACTGAAACTAAATTGCGTTTGAAATAGGATATGAAGATATGAACCCATCGGTAATAGGGATTATTCCTATATTGTTTCTGGCAGTTTTAAGCAGTTTAAGTTTAAAGTAAAACAGAATGACACCGAATTCCTCGGCCTGAAATACAATAACAGTCGATCAGTTTCTAGAAGCATGCATGGCAGAACGCGGTGTGTGTGTGTGTGTGTGTGTGTGTGTGTGTGTGTGCGTACGGGGAGAGGGAAGACAGACTAGGAGAACGCACACACATCTCCAATCTTTAAATGGGACAAAAATATCCATGTACAACACTCCCCCCGCTTTATTAATGATTGGATTATAATAATTAACAATGATTTATCAAAATTGCTTCAACACCTTATATATCCCAGGGAATAACTAATGCGCAAAACTTTTATTCCCCTTAAGCCCTTTATAACTGCGCCAGTATTTTGAGAAATTAAATGACTGATACACTCATATTAAAAAACATCAAGACTGCATCAGTGACACGGGTGGATAAGGGACAGTCATAAACAGAGGTTAATGAGGCTGCCATTCGACTGTTTAAACCACAACTATTAACTATTATAATGTTTTTTGCTTCTGCAAATATCAACAGAACACAATAGGTCAGAAAAGCGGCAGAGATGATGACGGAAATTTCGGCAAGAATTGCCGTCATTCTTGCAATATGCACGGAACTTTCGCTGGGGTTCTCAGGTAGGTTGTGGGTGCTACGAGATGTAGGGCAAATATGAATTTGTACAGCCGGATCTGTGGACACTTTCCTTGGGGTCGGCCCAACCAGAAAAATATATTTGACATTCTAGGTAAATGCCACGTCTGATTCATGTCAGCTACGGTAACATATTAGATAGGCACAGATATGCCGGTCTTATTATGGATAGATAGCGATTGGATGTATTTGGCAGATCTCGTATTAGCTGGGTCCTGTTCACTAAACAGCGTCAGACCAAAATTGGTCTAATCTTTTAGACCAGATATTTAGTCTATTTTTACCTATGACAGATCAATAGTAGTCTAAAAAAATCGAAATATTGCACTCGTTATGAAACAGTTAACATGACTACCTTTTTAGACCTACTTTAATTCCGTAGACCACTGTACTTTTTTAATGAAGAGGACTAAAATACTGGGCTAAATCTTAAGCTTAGATTTCCGTCTAAGCTGATGACACGATCTAATGTATAAAGCATCACTTTACTGCCGCTTAATTTATCATCAGTATAAATCATATATGAATGGAATATGGAATTTAGATCGACATTCTCATTATAAGTCAATATACGATTGCGCCCTTATTCATAATTGTTATGATATGATTGTGATGTACTCTTAGCGCCTGTAGTACTGTATTTGATACATAATTGGAATGATATACAGTACGATGTAAGTCGTTGAATTGTCATAGTTATTATATATTTCTCATTACTTTATGTGCAATTTAGCACATATTTCATAGGCTAAGGCCGATTAAAACAATCAATAACATCCGAACGCCGTCGCATTATGTCCTTGTTGGGAGTTCGCTTCAATGAATATTTTAATCTTATGATGACAAAAAACAAACATTTATCGACATAGCTTGTTTTTATCTTTAAGCTTACAGTCTCACTCTGCTCCATGAGTAAAGTTAGCTTGCAGGCGTGAGACCATTCTTTTCAGAATATTTGAATTCTTTTTTTTTAAATTTATATACCCATATATCTTTATACAATAGTGTTTCGTTTGGTTTATTATTATAGAATGTCCAGAAGGATGGATATATAACTATAGAAACGCACTCTGCTATCAGTTCAACCACTTTCGAAAATGTTCATGGGAAGTTGCTCTGGCCAACTGTAGACTAGAGAGAGGAGACCTGCTGTCTTATGAGAATCAGGGTGAAAAGGTGAGTAAAATTCAACACTGAAAGCAAAGGGTCGTTTCAGCTGATATTATTACCATGTTGGGTAAACACGTTATATCGCTATAGGTGTTATTGCAATATTAAGCTCAAGTGTGCCATGCGTTCTACATCTTATTAAGAGCATCTGACTGAAAAATGGTAGAATAATAATAATAATTATTATTATTATTATTATTATTATTATTATTATTATTATGAAGTAATCTTTAAGACCAAGCTCCACATTTGTCGCAGCGATGTGTAAAATGTTGAGATAAAATGTTAATATATCTGAATCAGAAATTCTCAAACGCACAAAAGGCCCGCATGTGCGTTCACTTATAAAACCATTAACAGTGCTAGTATTGCTTTCTAATGGCAACAGTGAGGCAATTCAGCACTCAAAAATCAATCAAGGAGGATTAATCCGATTAAACTGTTGATAAGAATTTAAAACATATTATAGTCAAATTACGCCCACCAACCGTGTTCATTACTCCATATAATAGCAGTTTAGCACTTCTGTGTAATACTCTCTCTCTAACACACACACACACACACACACACACACACACACACACACAGAAACACACACTTATCTTTTTTATTTATACTACACTTCTTTCTATGCTATTGTCAATCAGTCGAATTACCTCTTTGATTACATGTTCAGTTAGAGTAAAATTGCAAAATCTCATTTAGTCTAGGTATATATAGAACATCAGTGTACTCTTCTGTCAAAACCTGATATAAAACGGTTCATGTTACCAGCATATTTCATTATGTAATTTATTCACAATCTCATGTTTTACTCAACCGATGCATTTCATTGTTATGTGTTTCTAATAATATAGTGCTACGAATTATCGTTAATGTTAGATAAGTTAATTACTCGCAAAAAAAGCAATCACTTCATTGTCTTCTTGATTTCCCCTCATTTAATCGACAATCAACGCGAAATAGACATCATTCCATATTGATATCATCCCATATATCATCGACACCAAAGGAGACACCCAGTCTGGGACAAAGTGTTATTAGTCGATTACACTAAGGTCTTTTACTAAATACCAGTAGACCACTTATATAAAGGACACAGAAGTGTCCAGTTGCACCACAAATCTTTAGACCAAGTTTCAAAAGAGTCGAAAAGAAGGTGTAAAAATGGACATCCCACAAGCAAAGCAAGTACCGCAAGGAACAAAACTTTGACTAATTCTATTCGAGATAATGAGAAACGATCTCTTTACGACTGGCGACTCGTTCCGACGACTGAAACCTCAGGCTTTTCAGCTCTGGAAATGACACACCTATAAAAGTGAAGGAATATATAAACGACACAGCAATTGCAAGAGTGGAATCTGTGGAATTTTGGCCTTCAGATTTAGCCAGGGCATAATCTGGGATAAACCTGTACACCATGCCTAAACTGAAGCTAGTCAAAAGTTACACCATACTAAAACGAGCCAGTAAAACAGTAAACGGGCTATCTAGCATTTAAATGACAACAATAAGACCAACACTGGCGTCTGCGTGTCAGGTTTGACACCCTAGCTTCACAAACAGTCATCGTCATCGTCATTATTATTATTATTATTATTATTATTATTATTATTATTATTATTATATTCCTACTAGGACTGGGTCCTCAAGAACATGGTGGTCAATTTCTACTGGTCAGGACTAAATGACCGTTATGAAGATGGGCGTTATGTATGGACTGACCACACGGAGTATAACGCGACACTGGTGTAAGTTCCGTAAATGTCTCTAACCTGAGTTCATGTCAGTCACAGAACATGGCTTAGATAGAAAAGTAATACCGCTAGACTAAAACCGATTAAGCTGTCATCATGTTCCCTTAAGCTGTCCTTCATACAATATAAACTTAGGTTCATGTACTTAGTCACATGCATATAGTCGTGTTGCGTTCAATTTATTTTTTTTTTTGGGGGGGGGGGGCTAGGAAGTGGAGAAAGAGACATCGAAATAGCCTAGCGTTAGGTTCCTGTACTCTGTTTTTTTTCATCAAATTTGTATTTTTTCCAGACATTGGGCACCCAGAGAACCTAACAATTGGGGCGGCAACGAGGACTGTGCTGTGGCCATAAGTAATGGAGATATGAATGATATGTCGTGTGATTGGAATATACCGTATATATGTAAACGACGACCAAAAGGTCAGTACACCATGCAGCAGATATATCTTCATATTTTGTATATTTTATGATTTCTCTCTCTCTCTTTCTCTCTCTCTCTCTCTCTCCCTCACACACACACACATACACACACACACACACAACCACGCACGCATGCATACAAAAAGTTAGTATAACAAAAAAGCGTTCGAAGTAATACCTGTACGGTATGACTTTTTGCCCCAATCCAAATATAACTGATACACGGTCTTGTGAACGGCATCCTCCATATTTATATTGTACAAATAACATGAATAATTCTACGCTGCTCTGTCCGATGTGCCAAGTGTTATGACGTCACACAGGGTAATAGCATGACGTCACAACGCCCTAACACAGGACTTCATTCTGCACTCCTACATAAATATCACACCTACACTTACGGGATTGACTTTGTCCTTAGTGTGTCCTGTGTTTATTTTAGATGGACTATGCTTATCTCTAAGTGCATGTTTCTCTATTATTTTTGTAATAAGTTATTAGTACCCATTTTTCTTTCATTTTAAATCGGTGAAGAAAAAAGTGGCCATGAACTGGTCAATATGAAACACAGTGTCTGGAATCCGCACATAATCTCAAGCACCAACATGATCTTGTCCGTCGGAGCTAATTTTAAACACTTCTGAGTCTAATCATACTAACGCATAATTTGTTTGTTATGAATAACTTTTTGACATATTTTAACTTTAAAGTCTATGTAATAAGATTTTAAGCGAAAGATAGATCAAACAGCCCACTCATTAGGCCTACTATTAATTGCGATATACCTCTTCAGATTTCGTTTGCTCATTCCCCAGTATTTTAAATTATCAACAATATTTTAAATTATTAACCATATTTATTGACAATTAACGCTCTCAATAAATTATCATGTGGGTTCTGTTTCGCTCACGTATTTCACACATTTCACTTCATTCATGGCAAATTATGCTGCATAGCATGCGCATTAAGTGAGCTATTATGCGGGTCAAGGGTCATATTTATACCTCGCGTCTTTTAAGACATTCTCATTCACACTTACAAGGAACTTAAACAAATAGGTGAACAATGCGATATCAAGCGTGGAAAGTCTGTCTTGTACTGGTAAGGCTATTTTGTTACTTGTACTAAAGCTAGAATTGCTGCTCCATCAAAACAGCAGAAAATCCCTTTTTGTCTGCCTATTTATTTAACTATACCATATGATTTTTTTTTCACTTCTAAAATTAATTATGAAAATTACATTAGAATTAATAGAAATAGTATTACAAGAACAAAACGTATAATAGAAACTTCTGTTGCTTAGAAAATTAAACCGTTTATATCCATCAAAAGAGGATTGTAAAATACTGCATATAAATTAATTGTCCGTGTATTCATCGCAAGTAAGTCATAATCAGGCAATGCCTTTTTGACCTAGGTTCTGTGCTGCTGCTTGCTAAGCGCCGTAAATGCACGCAAAAAGAAAAACAAAAATAGGAAAGGAAACAACAAAGCTAGAAAAAGAGGTAAAGTGAAGAGAAACTGTTGTATATTTGTACGTAATATTTATACGTAATTATCATCATATCCTTTGTCGTGTGGAATTTTCTCGTAAAATAATGCTACATTCATCCGGTATACCTTTGCCTATATGATGAAAAGACTTTCATGGCATAAGGTACTTTCTATTTCCTTGAAAACCTGCGTTTGTAGTTGGATTCCATCATTCCAACATTCGATTTTCAAAATCTAGATAAAGAAGCGATATGGTGTGCTTCGTAGGTCTATGAATTTTGTATTTGTCTTTTTTCATCATTTGCCGGGTTCCATAAGAATTTTACACGCGTCTCCACCCATGAGCGCCTTAAAGGCGTCCTCATATTGCGTCATTGGCATTTGGTGGGTAATGACGGCGTTAACGTCGACCTTCCCTTCCGCTACCAGACGCTCACTTTCCACCCAGCTGTTCCAAATTCTTCGTCCAAACACAGTGTTTACTTGGAGTGCTCTATACACTGAAATAAAATATACGTCAAAATGGTTGAAATTATTATATTCTATCAGCAAATTCGATGTAATTTTTGTAAGATATTTTTGACTTCTTTCACTCAATTGTTTCTTCTTCTTCTTCTTCTTCTTCTTAGTAGTAGTAGTAGTAGTAGTAGTAGTGGTAGTATTTTGTCTACAATATTTCAGCAGCAATATGTTCTTAAAGTTTTGAAAGTGCATGTATTTAGGATAACTTGAATTTCGGAAATCGTTTCTACAAGACTTGGTTGGTTTGAGTCATAAAATACCCAATGTTATGTACATATTTACTTACTAATGGTTGTCATGGGTTTTTCAATGTGGACGGCCTCTTTTGGCATTCCTATCAAGGTGACCTTCCCCGCTGGTCTTAATAGATGAAATATTTTATTGACGACCGCTGGTACCCCAGTGCACTCACATATCCTCCCAACACCATATTTTTGAGTCATGTCCATGATGACATCATGGACATCAACTACACTAGAATTGATGACGTCATCAGCGCCCATTTTCTTGGCCATTTCCAGTTTGTCGTCCTTAATGTCCATTGCAATGATTCTGGAAGTGTTGGAAGCATATATGTCTTTGAAAACCAGTGCTTTAGCCACTACTATATGTAACCAAATATAAGTAGGCCTATTTATGAATGAGAAAACGAAAAGACAAAATATTCGTGTTCTGAGTAGTTTAAGATCTCCTAGCTACAGTACAATTTAATCTAAAAGGTCTCATCAAAACATTCGTTTAACTGAAGACTACCTTTTGGCCCCTAAAACCTTAGCCACACTGATAGCGAGCAGACCAATGGTTCCACATCCAGTGATCAAAATGTCCTCGTCCTTAATGTCCAGTCTACTGAGTCCATTGTGGACAACGCCCAATGGCTCGAGGAGAACTGCCTCACGTGCACCTTAAAATTATTCAATGCGAGATAGCAAGTTTACTCTACATGGAATTTTATTCAATATTATGATGTAACATTCAGATTTGGACCAAAAAATACATTACCTATTCAGGAAACCATAAAAGGACATTATAACGATACCCCATCCTATTTTGATTTTCAATATGACTTTCCCTTTTTGCTTCAATGTTGATGTTAGCTATATACAGGTATTTGTATTGAGCAACCTCTCTCCTCTCTATCTATCCCCCTTCTCTCTCTCGAAATTGAAATCTTATTCAAGTAATTACCAATAGAGGTTTTTAGAGGGTAACAGAACTTGTCCGCCACTTTGGTATACTCTGCACACCCTCCGTATATGGAACCCTTGCCGTGTCCAAACTGCGCCATATTGGGACATATCTCTCTTGCACCGTGCTCGCACACGTAGCAGCATCCACAAAACAGGTGGCTCTCCACACAGACACGTTGACCAACGGCCAGTGAAGCCTTAGGCCCAGTCTGTAATGTTAAGGATAAGTTTAACTCGAGGCAGGTGTGATTATAACATCGCACCCAGAAAAACAGATGCTCTAGGAACTGAAATGGAAGTTTCAATAGGACACCCTGCGCAGTACATTGGTAATCAAAAATGGAAAACCAAAGATATGAGGAACCAAAGATATGAAGAAGAAGATTGATTTTAGAGGAAGCAATACCTTAACCACTACTCCAGCGCATTCGTGCCCCAGTATTAGAGGCAGGTTGTTCACTGTAGCTGCCTGTGGAGTCCAGTTACACACTTTGATGTCCGAACCACATATCCCAGCAAATTCCACCCGAATAAGGACCTCATCGTCTGAGAATTAATCAAAGGATTTTACAACAAATTACAGCACGATGGAGCAATTAAAACATGCGGTTACCAACAGAACGCTATGAATGAGCTGTCGCCAAAGGATTTCTTGGTTTGAAGCGATATACAATATGCTGTCCACTAAAACTGGAGCTAAGCTGTATCAGTAGCTTAACACAGGGTATATACATTTAAATGGGCTGCGTGACTTAACATGTAAATTTGTAAAGCGATTATTTTTTCTCAATGGCAACAATATTGTAAATTAATACTCCGTGTGGCCGCACTAGTATTGAAATAACCACATTGAATCCTTTGCTATACACTCACCTATCAGATCAACCGGGACATCGATTGTTTCTAGGGTAAAAGAAGGCACTGGTTCTCGCTTTAATAACGCCTTCATCTGACGTGGGATTGGTTCTTCCGTCATGGTCAGTAAGTTGACACAACAAACTGGACACGACTTAGCCAACGTGTTGTATAGCGCAAGATGGACGGAAGACTGGAAAGTGCTTTGAGAAACCCAGTGAAGTAGGTCAGGGACATATGTTACCCCATAGATAACTATGGAAAAGTGTCAGAGACAAATTACTAGATAGATAACGATACCTCTTATAATAAAACAATGTTACTTAATTCAGATCATTTTAACGACACTAAAGGTGTAACAGTTTAAATGTTCCATCAATAAGAAAATAATTAATCTCTTGGTGTAGTGCACTCACGCGTGATCGGTGTTTTTAGACTGCACCTGTTCTAGTTCTACGCACACGCTTTCGATTTTAAATATTGTTGATGTGTTATAGAATTCTCCTTACTTTCATATTTATCGGAAGCATTTTTAATATAAGCAGCACTGAGCATAGTTCTAGCTAGACACCAAAGATGATAACCAAAACCTATCTAAAAACCAACTTGTAACATAACATAACATAACATATATAACATTCTGACAAACTCATCGCAAATTGTTGAAAATCCAAATAACATGTTAAATACCCAGACAATCTGGCAGTTGACCTGATGCCGCCAGTTAGCTCGATTGCGGTCCAAAATGGCTCATGTCTAAACAGACCTGGGAAAATATCCACATGTTGCGAAGTGCTTTGCCGTAAGTATAACTATCATTTAGTGACTTGCTGACTACAAAAGCACGCCAGTTTCAGACATCATTCACAAAACATGTTTATGACAATATGATACGTTTCTTCGGTTCATACATGAAGTTTTAAAAACAAAACAACTCTGATATAATCAGTAAATATACGTTGATATACCGGCATATATCTGCTCGATAATGAAAAAATGGACAGCAGTACACGTATTTGCATGCGCAGGCCTTTATATTACCCAACAGCCTACAAAGAAAAATGGCAAAGAAAATATATGTTAGAAGTGTTCCTAATCTACATGTTAAGTTTTTTTTTCTTTTGTTGAAACATGTTTGCCCACTAATACATGTATCTTGCTCTGACCAGAACATGTCACTGTTATTACATCGTAGGCAGGTTTATCATGTAAAGCAAAGCCGCTTATGGATAAACTGTGACACTGCGACCTTTAGTTGTTAAACATTGCACCATACACCGTTAACATGTGTAATTAAGACCTATCATCCAGGAAGATTTTCGATGATCGAAATGAAATCATCTGTGTGTCTTGTTCTTCTTTCACTCAGTTTAACCACGAACTCACAGGATACAAATGGTAAGAGCAGCAACAAAGTGGACTTGCTACGTATTCTTCATTTTTCTGTGCATTCTCGACTCTGTCTTTTGTGTGTGTGTGTGTGTGTGTGTGTGCGCGTGCGCGCGCGCGCGCGCGTTTTCGGGATTTCGATTCCACTTTAGATGCGTCTAAATATTTAACGTGATCAAGCGAGTGGGTATCCGTGTTTGTAAATGTCACAATTATAATGGCAATGTTAGCAGGCTAAATGTGATTTTTTTAGTGTGGTAAGTTGATTTGGATCTTGTGACAAAATATCACTGTAAATTTTAAAGACCCTTGAAAGGGGTTCCAGCTATTTGCTCCAGTCACACCCCAAATATTATTACCTCCACCAAGGTTATGTTTTCACCTCTGTTTGTCTGTCTGTCAGTTTATTTGTCATCAACATAACTCAAAACGTTATGGACCGATTTTGATGAAAATTTCAGGGTAGGTCAGAAATGGGTTAACTTAGAAATGATTAGTTTTTGGTGGTGATCCGGATCAATAATCAATCAATAATCAATAATAATCAAAAACGCTGCCTTGGCGGAGGTCTGCGCTCTCGGAGTGCTTTTCTAGTTGGAAATAAGCTACTGCTTGGGCATTTTTCTCCTCTTCGGTGGGTCTCTGATTAGTATTTC